CATCTACTGCATACAGTAAACACAGTCCAGACTCATCATGCCTATGAATCCTATTAATCCTTCCCTTGGCATGGGAGACCTGCGGGGCCCAATGGTGTTTCACCTGCTGAAGATCCATTATGCTCTTCGTCACAGGGTATGAGTAATAGTAAGGATAGTAGTATGTATATACTTACTAACTACGCCATAAACTGTGCAATATTGGTGCCCAGTCCGGGTCATTTGATGTGACATGGTTGTACAGCAGCAATAATTTTCTTCCTATTGGGAAACATACCGCCTCTCCAAGCGTGTCGCGTTGAGTGTGATAAGTTGATTAGGGTAGAGTTTAGTGTCATGTAGGAAGCACCTAGCCTGGCCTGCACCACTTTAGCACCGCCAGAACAGATCCTACGATTCCACTCGAGAAAGTGATCTCCTGTGACGGGTCACTGTGCAAGGGCCAATCAGAGGACCTGGCTGGAAGAGGCAAGTGACTTATCAGGAGTCCCTGTTGGCCCGATGCGGATTAGGCGTATCGACAACTGGGACTAAGCCGGTTTTGGGACGGTCAATACCTGAGGCTGGCGGTGATAGCGATACGCCAGACTTGACTTGGCTGTGACTGTGCCGGCAGGCGGTAAAAGAACAACCAACGGCGCAGCTTTGTTTGGATAATTCTGTGGTTGGGGATTGTGCCAGCCAACTGCAATGTAACCTCATCTGGATTAGTGATGATGGCGTTATTCACAGGTTTCCCCTCTCAATGAATGTAGATTAGTTTGTCTTAGTTAGTGTTGGAAAGAGGGGGATAACTTGTAGATGGGAGGAGGAGGGGGTGGAAAGAGGGGTGGGTAAGCGTGAGATAGCATTTTTGCTGAAAGGAAGAAGAGAAGGAGGGAAAAACCTGGTCAAGATGCTTCACGAAAATAAGCATAAATTTTTCAAAGGTGAGATTGAAGGAGAGGATGCTACCCTTTCATCTTATATCCACTCAACTACTGACGGAGTACCTAAGGTACAGTAAGTAGGTGGTATAGAAGTGTGAACTGCCGGGACAATCAATCTATTAATAGGGAGGCGGTAGCCAACAGCCGCCGTTGGCGAGTTGGTTAGCCGCCGGGAAGATGGGCCAAACCTCGAACGGGCGGCAGCTCTTCCCACCGTCGGTCTATCTTTAGAATAATCTTCTGCATCACCCGCGTGTCGCCGCTCCAGCCATCAATCATCCTTTCCCTTTCTCAATCCCCATCCATTCCATCATCGTTTTCCCCTCCCCATCCTAGAAATTAATTGACTTTTTGTTCTATCACGTCGCCTATCTCTCGTCTCTCGTTGCTCAAGGTGGGTTTCCTAAGGCCTCGTCTTTCTCTCTCTCTGTCTCTCTCTCTTTTCCCTTTGTTTCCCTACCCTGTCCATCCATCTCTCTCTACCGCCCACCCCCTTTGTCGTGTCTTCTTGCCCGTCGGATCACGCCCGCGCGCGCCCTTCTGGTGTCCTGTTCATCCCTCCTCCCAAAATACCGTCACTCTTCCTAATCTCACCCCTCCTTCCTCTTGCTCTTCCCACCCAAACAACTCTTTCGCATCACCAACCCCCTCCCACACACACACACACCCCCCCGGTCGTTCACTATCTTCCCTGGTTTTTGCGTATTTTCGCGCCTTACCTTCCTCTCCGTAGCGGAGAAGACAGTACTTCTCTCCATGTGGGGACTCTAGGGAAATACTAAATATAAATTCTGCCCACAGTCTTGGAGGTTCCTGCCATCCTTTTTTATTATTTTTTTACACCCTCTAATCGCGTCCCGGAAATCCTTGCGGGCGGCGCTTCCTCGAGTTTCAGCTCGCGCCGCCATCTGTTCCGGACGAACCATTCCCCCCAGAAGCTCTGCTTGACCTGTTCGTCTGCGTGTTTCATCGACGCTCTTTTCTGTGGGATTCGCTCGTCCGCTGTCCCTCATGGGTCGCAGAAAGATCGAGATCAAGGCGATCAAGGATGATCGCAACCGCTCAGTGTAAGTGCTAAAGCTGGTGGATCTCTTCACCTCTCCCCATTAAACCCTAGTTCGTCAAGCTAACGCTCTGGTGCGCTACTAGGACCTTTTTGAAACGGAAGGGTGGTCTGTTCAAGAAGGCACATGAGCTTGCGGTCCTGTGTTCGGTAGATGTCGCTGTCATTATCTTTGGTCACAACAAGAAGCTCTACGAATTCTCGTCATGTGATATGCGAGAGGCCCTCACTCGATATCAATACGTGCGTTGTCCACCTAACCCGCTCGTCTGGAAAGTCTCCTGTTGATCTGACATCGCCGCTTTCCTATGCTTTAGTTTGGTCCTCCACATGAACACAAAGGCCCCGAAGACTTTAACGGCAAACGTGACGATGATGATGACGAAGATGAGACGACGCCTGCCCCCGAAGATGTGCATCCTACGCCTCCGAACCCTCCCATGATTCCCGCCCACCTACCAGGTCATCCCGGTTTCCAGCATGTCACTCATGCGCCGTCTGCTTCTCCGCCCATCGGGAATGGGATGTTTGCTCCGCGCCACGGTACCCCTCAACCGCAGGGAGTTTCTAGGCCTTCGTCTCGGAATCACCTTCGCCGAGTGAGCTCCAATATGGGGCCTCAGCAGCATCATCATGCGACACCTCCGCCGCCACCGCCGCCGCCGCAAAATGGCTTCACGTACATTCCTAACCCTTCGGTATATAACCCCAACGCTGCTCACGCCATGGCTCAACCTCCCCGCCCACCTCAGTTCACTCATTACGGACCCCCGGGGCCGCATCACCAACCGCCTCCGCCTCCACAGCATCATCAAGCGATGCCTCCCCATTCCATGCCCCCACAGCCTATGCCTCCACACACAATGGCACCGCAAGCTATGCCGCCGCATCATCAAGCTCCTCCACACATGCCACACCCGCCTCATGCACTTGCACAGCAACCGCCTCCAATGGCTATGACCCAACCGCCCCATGCCGCCATCCCACAGGTCGCGCAAGCGTTTCTCCCAGACCAAGGACGAAATTCTATGCCTCCGGCATTCACAACAGATCAGCAGCCACCGCCACCCCGAACAGTATCGCTCCCTGAGGGGACCGCTCCGACAGAGGCAATGCCGGGCCCCATGAAGACGGAAGGAACGCCATCCCCGCCGCATCAGCGATCTCTCTCCTCCAAGTCTCGCAGTATCTTCACACCCATTGACGATCGAGGTTCCGTATTGGCGCGCCATTTCGGTGTAGGTCCTCCAACAGAGGCGGGAGAGAATGCGCAAACAAGGGCCGAAGGACCAGCACACGGACCGAATGACGGGAAGCCTGCCGGGCTGACTGCAAAGCCCCCTCCTCCACCTCCCCGAGCTGCCACGGAAGCCCCACGTCCACAGCCGGTAGTCGACCTGAAGCCGCCTGTGCGCACAAACAGCGGCCAGTTCCCACCTAAACGCCCGCAGTTGAAGGTGCAGATACCGAGTGAGAATTCGGACCGGGGCAGCGCAACGGCGGACTCATCGTCACGCGATTCGGCGGGGAATAAAACACTCACGCCTGCCAAAGCAAATCCAGACACCGGTCATTCGAGCGTGGTATTACCACCGCCCTCGCCGTCTGCGGGCGCAATACTAAGTGCAGGGGCTCAAGGACCGCCAAATCCTTTTGCCCGACCTCCGCCTCCGGGAGCAGCAACACAGAACAACAGTGCATACAACAATAATAGCAATATAGATACGCCGATCTCTGCTCTTCCTAGTCGGTTCGTCTCGGATGCGCTTCTCCCGTCACCGTCCAGTTTCTTTCCGGAATGGGGCTTTGGGCGGTCTGGACCAGACAGCAACATGCTGCCCAGTCCCCTAACGTTCCCTACGCCGGCGGTGCAAAGTGGCCCCGGGTTTGGGCGCGAGGATGAGCAAGACAAAAAGCGCAAAAGCCCCGACAGTGGACCCAATGCGGAAGGGGTATTGAAGAAACCAAAGACGTAAATCCACTCCATATTGTTACAACTACTAGACTGATGATTGTGGTATTTTGTTGCTGGGGTGATCATGTCCCCCGTGTTTCATATATGGCATCTCAAGGCGTTGGCGAAAGCTACTTTTGGTTTCCTTAATTGGGATGGGAAAGTTTCGAATGAGGCTCGTTTTGTTTCCTTTGGATTCTTTTTTGTCCTCCGGTTCTGAACAAGTACCAAGTCCTTCCTTGTTTTGTGATAAGGGTTTCCGATTTAACTTTATACCCCTTCCTTTTATTGTTATTGCCATTGTCGTTTTTGGCAGTTGACCTAGCTATCCATCGATTTCTCTCTCTCCAAAGTCCGAAATATATGAGAATGGTGCGATAAATCTTTCCTTTCCCTTACCTATTTCCTTACTGTTTTGCTTTACTTTTTCGCTGGGGATTCTGAAGATAAAACACATAAATATTATTATATTAAGTGTTCAATCTTCTAAGTCACGGGTGGCTCTTTCTCTTTCATATATTATTACAATGTTCTTATTATTTTGAGGGTCAAAAAAAAAAACGAAAAAAAAAAAAATATGTGTACATAACAAGCCATGCGATGTGCAACTAGGAGAATTTAATTCGATAGTAGGTTTCTTCTTTTTTTCTTACTTTTAAGTTACTGGTGCTGATTATGGTTCACCGCACGTCCCGTGTTGCTTCTAAATATACATAAGAGTTTAGTTATCTGATAAGGAGTAAGGGTTTATTATTTTTTAACATTGATTGATTGATTGATTGATTGATAGTTCCGTTTGCCGGAAACCTAAATTAAATACAAAAAACGTTAACTCTAAATCTTTTTTTGGTGTTGGGGGGTGCGCACGAGTCATGACATCAGTTTTATTTTCTATCTGCTGTTATCTGATGGATGAAGTGGATGATGGTGATGGAGGGGAATTGGGGTCCTGTGTATCCTGTTTATTATTATAGTATATGCTACTGCTCTCCTAAGTGGACGTATCAATCTGTTACTAGTATACTGATTCAAAGTATCTCAGTCAGTCACTGTTAAGACGTTAGGATTAGATTTTAAAATGTTTAGATAGATACATCATCATGATAATCATCTTTTGTGTAAATGTAAATGGTATGCAAGTATGTATGTTGAATGTTGAATGTTGAATGCAGATGAAAGGTTTCTAGTCCAGATTCGTTAGTTAGTTAGTAGTTGAATTCCATCCATTATACCTTCTTCCTTCGACCAATATCCTTTGTCCCTCCCTCGCTTTTCATTTCTAGCCTTGTAAGGCCTGTAACATTAATCGATCTTTGAGTTTCGTTTCCCACAGGGATGAAACCAGGTTTTTGCATATATGTGTAAACTGAAATGAAGAAAAGTCCGAGGGCAAGGATGCATTAAACTGCCTCCTTCGCCTCTTTTTCTTCCTCCCCCCTCTCCCTTTTCTGATCCTCCAAAACTGCCTGTCTGGCCTTTTCCTGCTCCGCGAGACCGGTCTTTGCAATGGTATGCGATTTACTCAGCACGACAGGCCTTATAAACAGACTTATGATAAGTCCTAATCCGGCCATCGCAGTATAGAAGATCCACATGCGACTCAGGGCCAACGTATACGCCTTCAGCACGACAGTCTTCTGAGCACTGCCCAGGGACTTGATCAGTGTGCTAGCAGATCCTGAGAACGAGTTCTCGATGGACGTGGCCTTCGCCTCGCCGATCGCAGCAGCGACTTTGGGCATTTGCTCGTGGAAAACGTTTTGGTAGATGACTGTTCCCAAGACGATGGAGATGGCGGCAGCCACCTGGCGCAGGAAACCGAAGGTAGCTGTTCCGGCGGCCATATCGGAGGGGTGGATGTTGGCTTGTAGAGCGACAAGCGGGGACTGGAAGAGCGGGCCGGTACCGATACCGCCGATGATCTGGTAGATGATGATGCGGGGCCAGGAGGCGTAGTACTTCAGGTCGATGAGGAGACCGTAGCCGAGGGTCATGAGGGCGAAGCCGGAGATGATGAGTTCGCGGTATCGGCCGGTCTTCTTAATGACGAAGCCGGTGGCGGCGGAGAAGATGGAAAGGCTGAGAACGGTGGGGAGGACGTAGACGCCGGACATGATGGGGCTGGCGAGGAGGACGGTTTGGAAGTATAGAGGTAGGTAGTAGGAGCCGGAGATGAAGACCATGCTGTGGCAGAAACAGAGGAGGATCATCAGGACGTTGTGGGTGTTGTTGAATAGGCGGATGGGTATAACGGGGTAGCGAGCGAATTTCCATTCGTTGAGAACGGCGAGGCCCCAGGTGAAGACGCCGAAGACGATGAGGCAGATTACTGTTGGTGAGTCCCAAGGGTAGTTGACGCCGCCGAATTCAAGGCCGAATAGGAACATTAGTGTGCCGCCGAGCATGAGCATATTGCCTGTCCAGTCGATGGAGCGGATTCCAGCCCAGAAGGGCACTTTGCCGGTTTCGATCTTGAGGAAGAAGACAAGGATGACGAAGGAGACGCCGCCGATGGGGACTGGGGTGTTGTTAGTTGGGTGTTAGGGCTGGAGGAGGGAGGGAAGGGGAGACTTACGGTTGAGGTAGAAGCACCAGCGCCAAGTTACATCTGTAGTGAAGGCACCGCCGACGATAGGGCCTAGTGCTCCGGCGATGGCCCATGTAGAGCCGAAGAGACCGTAGTACATGGGGCGTTCTCTGGGGTGGCGTTAGCGCTGGGTCAGTGGAGGGCTAGTGTAGAGGTGCAACAGACCTGACACTGAAGAGATCAGAGACGCAGATATTGGCTAGCACGATGATACCACCGCCGCCTGCACCTTGGATGGCTCTTCCCGAGATGATCATGGGGAGGTTGATGGCCAGCGCGCAAATCAGACTGCCGATGAGGAAAAGGAAGTTGGCGATAAGAATGATGCGCTTGCGACCCCAGACATCACTGATTTTTCCCCATAAGGGAACACAGGCGGCGTTGGCCAACATGTATGATGACGCGATCCATGAGTAACCGCTTTCGGAAGCGTGAAAATGCGTTGCGATAGTAGGTAGGGCTGTAGAGACAATAGTCTATAGAGACAACAAGTGTGAGTTAGATGTAAATGCGACGGCGCGATCAAGGGTCGTTACCATATCCAAAGCTGCTAGGAACAAGACAAGCTATATATTGAAACACCATTTGGTTAGCGATGGAGCCATCAGAAGCAGGGAAAAGCAAGGGACATACGCAAAGCGCAGTCATGACAACGACAATCTTCTTCTTCCCTAGCCTCTGCGCCTGCGACGGCACTCTATCCAACGGCGCACCAGCGCCAGCTTTCTCTTCAGAAACATCATCTCCAGTCTCTTCAGGAGATGGTTGTTCTGTTGATGTCTGTGAGGGCGACCCGACAGGGTCAGGCTTCTCCGAACCATCTCTGGATGAAGAGCCCACGACGGATGGTGACATCTTCTCCGCATCTACCAGGACGTCCTTGTCCTGGTCGGCATGCTGCTGCTGCTGATGCGCGATACGATCATCCTCACGAGGAGGATCCTGAGTGACCGCCATGCTTGCAGAAATCCAGGATGAGTCTGGAGGAAGAAACAGAAGAAAACGAAAAACGAATGACTCAACAGAAGCCGAAAGCTTGCTGTCCAAGAAAAGAATCGGGGGGTGAGGAGAAAGGAACAGTGACCCCTCAAAGTGGCGGATTAAACCGACGGTTGCAGCCAAGTCTTAAAGTCTAGATTTTGAGGGGAGGATTATCAGGGTGCAAGAGAGACCAGCTCAACTAATCAAGTAAATTAAACTAAATAGCTAGCTAGACTAGACAGGAATCTGGCCCAGTTCATAAATAATCCTTTTCCAAGGAGAGAAAATTTTCCCCTGTCAATGCTCGCGCTCGCCCTTAAGGCTCGGAGTTAAGTTGAAACAGAAACCAACGACAAAGCCATGCCCAAAACGGGCAAAAATGCTATCGATCTCGTGGGCGCCAAACGAACAAGGCTACAAGCACGCCCGAAAAAGCCACCCCACGGGCCACTTCAATCCATGGGCACGGGATGATAGTCAAGCAATCCCATGGAATGACATACAACAACTGAAAATTTGGGATAAAAATCCCGACTGCAGGAGGGAGAACAAGAAAAATTTTGGGGGGCGAAGTTACAACCGTTGGCACGCCCGGACATTTTTTTGGGTCTGCATGTCTGCATGCCTGAAAAACAAACAAATAAGACCTGTCGCAATCCTCCTTGGTTTTTTCTTTTCTTTTTTTTTTCCTCCCCGACGATGATCTGCAGTGATGCTCTCTATCAGTCATTCAATCATGATGGAGCATCGTGGAATTGAGTCTACACCGCATCTTGACTTGCGTTCTACTAAAGCACCATGCAGCTAAGGGCATTGCAATTGCGCCCGATAGGGGGGAGACTTGCTTCGCTCGAGACTAGGAGAAAAAGAAAAGAACCCAAGCCCATGTCTTACTTGTTCGCTGTAGATCCCCGGGTTCTGCTTGCGAAGAAAGATGTTACGTGAAGAAAAATTAGGGGTATAATGTACAAGTATAATTAGGGAGGAAACCCTGGAAGAATCCACCATATCATCCAGATCAAAACTATCCGTCCTGAAGCTGGAGGATTTCTGCACCGACATTAGCAACCAACCATCCAACCTCATTCCGCATACCCAGGGTGGGAACCAACTCACCAGTCAAGAATTCCTCAAAGCTCACCGTAATATAGCCGTCGCGATCATCATCATACCGCTTGAAGACGTCCGTCATGCGCCGCAGACTAATGCACGCCTGCACGAACAAATCGAAGCTCATGCCCTGTTTCACCGGCCCATACGGAGGACCATTATTCATCTGCCGGCCTTTGTTCTCGAACGTCCGGAACAACACCATCACAAATGGCTGGCTCAGCCGGTACCCGAAGGCCACCAGTGCATTCTCGAACTCGTACAGGCTAATGCGCCCGCTGCGGTCTTGATCGAACCGATCGAACAGCTCCCGCCACGCTGCAAGGTAGCGCCACAGTGCCACAAATTCGTCGAATGAGATTGTCCCGCTGTTGTTCCGATCAAACATGCGGATCATCATCTTCACGGTCTTGGGGTGAAACGATGTGAAGTCTCCGTTCACTAGAGCAGAGCCCAGCTCCATCTCTGTGAGTGTGCCCGAATGCGACGTGTTGGCAGCGCGGAAAAGGGGGAATAGCTGTTGCGGGTCGTCATCGGGGACTGCCAGCGCGCCATGGTTCGGCGAGTTGGGCGGACGCGACGCGGGCGGCGGACGATTGCGCACTGGCTGGCTAGGAGGCGGCCCGAAGCCGTAGTTCTGCGGAGGAGGAGATGGATGTAGTGGGTGAGGGCGTTGTTGTTGACTCGCTGGAGGGACGTTTGCCGGCGACCGTCCACCATGCGGGGCCTCCATGGGAGGACGCTGACTCGGTGGTGCACCGTAGCGCTGGGGATGGGGATTGCCGGCACTAGAAACGGGGACTCGAGGTGGGACGCCGCTGGAGGGAGGGTGAGGAGACGGGCGAGAATGCTTCTGGTGGTGCGAGTTGCTGGATTGCATGGCACCGAGCATTTGCGCTACCTAATTGTCATAGACCGAGTTAGGAGGCGCGGGGCATTCAATCAGGCAGACAAAGAACCACTCTCGAGAAGAAACTACCGCACCTGTTCCGGCTCTGCATGCCTGTATCGATTTATGACTTGTTAGCGACCCCATTAATCTTTTTTGATTGACCTCCAGAGAATTGAGACTCACGCTGGCAGCGCATCGGGGTTGTAGGACTGGTTGTATGCCATGGCCGCGGATCTGACGTAACTGACGCCGGGCGCAATCCAGCGAGGGGCAGAATGAAAAGGTAAACGCCCAGTTACAAAGGGCGGGTTTTGAAAGGGGAGAAAAAGAAGGGAGAGAAAGAGAAGAAAGAAAAGGATGGGTTGGGATCAAAAGGAGGTCAGGGAGAGCGATGGAGAGATTAAGTTCTGTTCCATGGGCTGCTAGTCATTAACGAACAGATTGTTTTTGCGGCCTTGGGAGCGGAGCCGTGGGGCGGCGGTTCAGCAGGAGTCGCCAAGCGGAGATGCTCAGGCACCGCTTCAACTAATAAACTTGTCCTGCCACCCCTGCAAGGAGGCTGTGTATATACCTCTACAATGAGGAGGCAGCAACAATTGCTTCAGATAGAAATAGACCGTCGCCAGTGTAACCTTACCCTCTTGACAGCCGCAATGGACGGTCCGCAACCAAACACTGGCATGCCCGACCGTTCTCAGCCCTATACTGGAGGCTTCTTTATTTGTTCCGGAAATGCTTGGCCCACTGGTTCCTCTTCCATTCGCGGTGGAGCCTGGCCAGCGTCTGTTCGTCGGGGAAGGTCTCTTTCCTATCAAATTATGGTCTGGTATGGTCTGACTATGAATATCACCCATCAGTAAACGCTAGCCAGTCATTCAATTGGCCCCGTGCAGGAAGGCGTAGACGTATCGCCCCGGCTAGTGAAGATTAAGCGCTTTTACCACCCCCTGATTGACTCCTTCAGCCCCTCGGATTGCTCCTCCAGCTCGTTCATGATCTCCGTCCACGCTCTCGCCTGGAATTGCTTTCCTTCCGCTCCCGTTGTCAACGCCACGGATTCACTGCCCTAACATTAGCAACCCTGCCACAAAGACAACACGTAGAAATATCACAGAAGAGAAACACTTACTCTAGATATCCATCACTCCGCCAGCACTTCCCATGCGACTCCACCCCCTGATAAGTGGCACTGACCAACGACCGGCTCCCTTGCTCCGCCGTGCGCGCAAATAGCTTATAAGCCAACCACGTCGCCCATCGCTCGTAGAATCTACTGTACTGCCGTCCAAGAGACGAGACACAAAACCCAGGGCTTACAGTGTTGATGATGACCGGCACAGTGCCATTCTCATTCCGAACAAGACCAGCTACCGTCTTGAGAACATACTCCAGGAGAAGCTTCGATATACCATACTGCTTGGGGCCTTTGAAGGTCTGCGGGCTATTCAGATGCTTTAATAATGGCTGCACCGTCCGAAGACTCTTGGCTTTCACGCGCACGAACTGCTGGCTGGACACGACCGTAAGATGAGCCGGGTCGGACAAAGATGAGCTACTCCTTAGTTTCGGAAGGAGCAACAGCGCCAACAGGGAAGTGGATAACGTATTGACCTGCAATGTTTCCTCCCATCCCTCGGGCGATACGCCGAAATCTCGATTCCATATTCCGGCGTTTAGTAACGCAATGTCCACTTGGTGCAACTCCTCGTTCACCCGGTTCGCGAAACTCTTGACGCTCTGGAAGCTGTTCATTTCCAGCTGCCATACTTGAATCACTCCTTGTCTGTTTGTAAGCTTCTCAAGCTCCGTCTTGGTCGCTTGGCCTCGCTGGAGGTTCCGGCTCCCTATAATGAGCGACTCCACCCCGAGACGGAGGAGCTTGACGGCGGCCTCGAACCCCAGTCCGGATGTAGCTCCGGTCAGGATGACGGTTTTTCCTGCGAATGAAACCCCACTGGGGTCGACCGGAGGGTTATACTGGGTGCGTAGTAGACGAAGGAGGCTAGCCATGATGCAATTATTCGGCACGCGACAGAACCCTATACAATCCAGGGAGAATTGAAGGAAGGCCAGTCATTGATGTAGCCCAAAGGAGCTGACAATCGACACAGTCAGGCCGATCAATTAAATCTAGGCTGAACAGGGATGCGTCTTCGAAGGATCGGATCCAACCCAACCCTGCATAAAGTTGAAGATAGTTGAATTCAATCGATTAGCGATCCGCCATGGAGGACAGCTGCCAGGCGGTTTAGCTTGAGCTAAGGCCGGGTCCGGCGTCTGGGCCGCCCCGCAGCAATACTCGACGCGGCTTTACGAGTACGAGCAGTTTCTGCAGTCCGCCAAGGTCCTCAGCAGAAAGTTTGCCGTTGAATCCGGTATGACAAGCGGTTCCTAATTTTTCCGGTTCGCAGATATATTCCCGTATGAACAATATGAGGCTTGGAATAAAGCAACTAGAATTCTGGGGATAGTGCTTAGTATTTAGTAAGGTATTAGAAGAAATGGAGAGCGAATGAGAAAGCAGGAAAGTGGCAACATTCCTTTGGGCGCGGATCAGGTCAGGGGACCTCGCAAACAATGCAAACACGCAGAGGCCTTTCTTGCGACTATCTGGCTCAGTTGTTCGCCATTTGCAATCATAGACTTACAAATTCGGGGTATTTGCTGCCCTCAAAAGCAGTCGTATTGTTTCTATTTCTTTCTTTAAAGAGCCCTTTCAGTTAGACAACTAAAAGTCAAAAGACCTTCCTCCCTATAAAATACCACTTCTTCCCCCCTACCCATCAATATATATTCAACCAGCAAACTCGAATGAGGGGTAATATATAGTACCCCGCAGACCAGCCGAATTATCCACACCGACAAAGATCATCAGCCAAAAGACCATACCAAAACTCACCCCAAATATAAGTTACGCTATGGTGTCTAGCGAGAGAGCCGAGCACCATGTCCTTTCATCCGAAAAGGGCTGGCGCGAAAACTTCCCCGACGGCGACCTCTGGGTGTTCGGCTACGGGTAAGCCTATCAGGTCCTTGAACGCGATTGGCGCGGTGATTTATCTCATGACTGGGTGACGGTGGTGGCTGACCCTTTCTTCTTTTCTTGCTGCCAAAAGGAGCTTAATTTGGAAGCCTCCGCCGCATTTTGGTATGTTGATATTGTTCTGGAGAGATAAGAGGGTCGTAGGGACCTTGGTTGATTCGGAGTGAATTGGTTGTTGATTATTGTTGTGGTAGATCAGCGTGTTCCGGGTTATATCAATGGCTATGTCCGACGGTTTTGGCAGGTATGTTGTTGACTATGCCATTGTCTATTCCTTGGTGTCTGCTTGTTTAATCTGTGGATGATATCAATCGGTGATGATTCTAACTGGGAGATTTAAATCTATAGGCTAGGTATGTCTGAATATGCTTTCAAGCTGCGAAAAAGCTATTGTTGCAGCACAATAGGCTAACACGCAGGATAGTAACGACCACCGCGGCACGAAAGAGAAACCCGGACGGGTATTAACAGTCATTGACCGGGAGTTCTGGGAAACTCTTGATGATCCGGTATGATTCCTTTGCTCCCTTCTGCGCCTGCACATATCCTGTTCCTCTGGTCAATTGTCTCACAAACCACCCCTTTGAACAGCTAGCACACCATGAAACCTCCGCAACAGCTACAGTTTGGGGTGTAGCGTACCACATCCCTGCCAGCCACGCCAATGAAGTCCGACAATATCTTGACATCCGGGAAATCAACGGCTACTCTGACCACTACACGCCGTTCCACCCGGTCCTGACACCCCAGGGAGCTAGATCTACTGACACCTCGGACTATCCCACCACCCCCATCACCTGCATGGTTTACATCGGCCAGCCCAGCAACCCGCAATTTCTACGTGACCCGGCACAGCGTGAACAACAGGCGGTGGCCGAGGTGATCAGTCGCAGCGAGGGCAAGAGTGGGAAGAACGCGGAATACCTGTTCATGTTGGAGAAGGCACTCGAGGGGCTTGGGTTCGGGAATGCTGAGATGCATGTCACCGATCTAGTGAAACGGGTTAAAGCGCTTCAGAACGAGGAAGAGGTGCGTAGGGAAGAGGAGCAGGCTGAACGGGACTTGGAAGAGTCGCTGCATCCATCGGCGCGGGAAGCACACGAACGGTTCCCGCCTGTTGAGTAGACATGTCTGAATAAGAATATAGAGAGATAGAGATGATGAGATTGGGATAGATCATGACTTGGACCTAGATTAATTCCAAATTCACGATAGAGCACTGATTGCTTTCGCTAGACCACTTTCCCACCGGCCTCAAATCAGGTGTTAACATAAGCCAGATTACATACATGTCAACCATGACCCGAGTAAACGACGTCAGAAACAATTGATTTAAAGCCACGCGATGCGAAACCATATCAAACCACGAGAGAGATGTCATTATCGCAATGAACTGGCGTGAGAGGGGAAAACAATAACGGAAAGAAACAAGAGATAGGGGTCGTTTCGTCGTAAGTCACCATCATAAAAGCTGGGTAGCATGCGCCCGGGGTTTTATCCCAAACTTTATGTCCGAAGGGACTAACAGCAGCTGACATGCGAGAAAGAGGGAAAAAATCGTGAAAAGAAATGAAGAATAGGACAAGAGACCGGTCCGTAGTAAGCCATCGGCAATGCTATAATAGCTTGCGTAGCTTACTCTGCAGCCTCAGGCTCCTGCTGCTGGGAACGCCAGCCTGCTTTTTATTAGCTACAATATGAAATCTTGAGGGGGAAAAGAGGGCCTTGATGCCAGTGCCCACTAGGGAAGATAGAAGAGAAAAACTCACCGCCGCCGTTGTAGCCACGGTTGTAGCCACCGCGTCCGTGGAAACCACCACCACCACCCATGCGCGGTCTCGACTCCGAGGCTTTGTCGACACGGATGACACGGCCGTCGAATCTGAAATTTGTCAGTGTTTGAAAATGAAACATCTAGATGTCTTGCTTACTCCTGGTTGTTCATGGCGTTCATGGCAGCGTCGGCCTCAGCATCAGAGGCGAAGCGGACGAATCCGAATCCACGGCTGCGGTGGGTGTCATGGTCCTTGACAACAATCTGAGTTTGGTCAGTACGAGCATAATGATGGAGAACTTTCATTGCTCCGCGAAACATGGATGACCAACGGCTTCTTCGATTGTTCCATATTGCGAGAATCCCTCACGGAGGGTCTCGTCAGTGGTGTGCCAGGCAAGGCCGCTGATTTTGGTCAGTATGCTATTGGGGCCGGGTGGCCAGAAAGGAAAAAGAATTGACAGACCCGATAAAGAGCTTAGACATTTTTATTGAGGTTTCCTACAACGGAGCTGGAAACTATTCTGGTAGTAAGCACCTGCGGAATGAGGATGTCACAGCGAGAATGAGGGGTTGGATGCGATGGTTTCTTTGACAAAGTAGTCACGTCGAACTTTGAGAAAATTTCACAAAAGCTGAGCAAAGAAGAGACCTAAGAATGTAGACGGAGGAAGAAAAAGCAAAAGAAAGTGGGAGAGAGGGAGAGAATGAAGGGAATGGTTTTAAGAGAGACGACAGCAGACCCTGGAGGGTCCTCTCCACGACGGAGATTCAGTGAGACCGTTGCAAGTGACTCCACCAAGCATGAAACTAAAACATACTGCCAAGGGAAAGACGAAGAGAAAGTAGAGACTGACCTACCTGATTTGCGAGTGGTGCTTGGAATTTGAGTAAGGGATGGAGGGGTAGTTGTAAACTAAGGAAGCAGTTCTGCAGAACCGGGACCAGGAATGGGGGGGAGTTTTAGGGGGGATTTAGTTTTGTAGGAACCGGTGAGAATGACGGAGAAGAAGAAAACGCGGCTGGAAAAGCGGGGGGAACAACGGAAAAAAAAAAAGAGGGAAAAGAAGGGAAGAGGGAAGAGCCTGGCGTGCTCGAGGCTCTAAGGGAAGGGAAGAGAGAGCATCAGGGCTGTTTGTCTTAATAATGCAAACCAGCGATGGGATTGGAGACGCTAAAGACTCATGCCCGGCGCACCTCCGTTCCCCTCCTCTCTTGAAAAATTATTTGAAAATTGGGGGAAAAAACGTTGAGATGTCCACCGGTGGCTGTAGCCGTTGCACTGGGATCACATTTCTCCGTAGATTCCGATGGGTGGATGTTTACTACAAGTTGGTTTGGCGACCTTCCATCAAGGTGCTTGGAACTACTTACTATCTACCCTACTTGGATGACGGACGATGCTGAGCCTGGTTTTGAGGATGCAAGAACCGGAAACCAGGCCGGCACTGAAAGGGAGCTAAGGACCAGAGATCGGCTAGGTCTCTATGCATGGCGCCGAAGCTCAAGGACTCAACGGGTGTCAATTTGCAGCTCCCGTTGACCGACGAAGAACTACTTATGTCCCCGGATCCTCGTCGTAGGGCTGTTTTAAGATGCCGGACATGGTCTATCTTTCGCTGCACGGACGCTGCTGTTCAACCAACCCAACAGCTTGTATTGCTGGCATTTGAAGTTGTAACTTACACATGCCGGGAGCATAGACTGGCACTCGTCTGGTACCTGCCAGCTATCTATCTAGCTTATCTGACAGGCCCGCGTCTTCACGACTAAGCAATTCCCGGGTAGAAGTATTCACTGGACGAAGCAATCTAGCTACTGGTGGGGCCAGACCTGCACCGTGCTTCTTTCTAGTCACCACACTCTCTCATACCCACCTCCCTCAATTGCTCTCCACTGGCTTCTTTATTGACCATCAAAATCTGTCTTGGAATTTGATGCGCTGCATGCTTTTCAGCTGCACTCAGGAGTTTGAACTCTCTCAGCAAGTGCGAGCAGCGCATGGACTATGTCCAATCCCCAAGAATGAAGGTAGTGTTACCTTCCACCTTTTCTTCCTCTACCGTCAACCTTGTTTTTTGCAACCTCACTCACGGTGCTTCATCCTCCCACCCTGAGAAATGCCTCGATATTCTAGGGCCTCATCAGGATGGGTGACATCACCAATGAATACCGTGTGAATCTCGGTCAAGATGGCCGCGCAGTGGTCAAAAACCCTATAGGTGCTTACGATAATGTACCACATTCAGGATGGCAGCCATCTGTTGATAAACGGATATCTGAGATCAAGAAATGTGCCAGGAATGCCCGCGCGCAGAAGATGAGCATAACAGAAGCATCCCCTGACGACGGCGTGGCGGTGACAGGTGTTGTGTAGGACAACAGGGCATTGGCCAAAAGACAGGCAGCCTTGCGTATCAACCAACCGCTGCTCGCTCTGCGGCAATCAATGCAGCATCTCTCTGGTGAACTGAGGCAATCGGAAAAAACATCATGGTACATAGCTGACAAGGCAAAACCACAAATTCCGAGGAATCCCCTGAAGGATGTACTGCGGGGACCTCGAGGACTGCAGAAATCCGTCATTATGTTGACAGCCTACTTTTGGAATGCCTTTCCTGCGCAGTATTGAGTCCTATACGCAACACGTTTGAGACTCCATGCTCCCATCGATATTGTCGAAGGTACACAACAAGCTAATCGACGAAGAACCCCTTTATTGAATGCCCAATATCATCTCCTTATTGCTGCTGCATGTCTATCCCTTTGACTTTGCTTCTTAGATAGCTGGCGATAACCGGAGGGAAAACGAATGGAGCGGCAGGATATCACTTGCCATTTCCCCAGGCACAGCATGTAATAGACCCCCGTTTTGCAAGGGTACTTCTCAGAGTACAAGAAATACCTCTAGCGGAGATACAGCAAAAAGCTGTCTTGTGTTGCTGAAGAGTATAGCGCCGTTGGTCGGGATTGGAAAACCCCCAACCACCTTGATGGCCCCGAGATATCACTGTTACGTGTTGAAGACAAAAGTGAAGTGAAAAATGGGGAGATACGATGTGACAACCTAGTAGTAGACCTATACCGCGAATAGAAATACAGATATCCTCAATAGTCTCATTGAAAAACACATGTTTTACCCGTCTCGGATTCTCCTTCCCAGCTTAATTCTGTATTACACTGACTCAGTAGTCAAGTGGTCATGTTCGGCAACCGCGACATCATCTGAAGCAACAGTGACGCTAAGCGTTGGTCGCGATGTGGTCGGGGAGCTCCTGCCCACACACACATATACACATTCCACGACTCTCACTACATATCCCCTCGAATTACCGACCACACCTTTATCTCTTACCAACTCACACAACATGGCTCAAGTCAATTATAATCCGCTACAACACTCCGATCTGTACAACAGAATCGAGGACTGGATAACTAAATCAGATGCCGCGCACAATAGCCACGAACCACGAGATACAAGCTCTCTACGCCACCGTAGGTCCCATTCACCATTACCATTATCTGAAGCCTCAAGTGCGTCTCTGACAATTTGCAGCTCCTTCCTATTACCTACAACCAGTGTCTTATGCCTTCAACAAATATCGATACGAAGAAATAAAGAAAATGAACGCGGAACCTGAGAACATGCCAGCCAGTTTCGCTGAACGACAGCCAGGATGGCTTGGATGGGAGAATTATTACGCTGAAAGAGGAGGCGTCACTGTATGTTATCCCTCTGTGCGAAAAGTACAGCAGGCTCGTGTGGGTCAGGTGGCTTCACTCGAGCCAACGGGATCCCAACAGCCAGTTGCATCGTCAACAGCAAATGATCCAGCAACGTCTTCAAACTCCGAAGAAAGGGGACATCACCGATATGAGCGGCAGCCTCGACACAGAACTAAGACTGACCGATACGAGTACAAGGTTCAGGATAAGAAGATCAGCGAACGCCCTCGTTCGAAGAAGAGGACATTCAACGACACCTTTCATGCTCCCAACGTGCCCTGTGATCGTCTGACTGTAAGTGACATGCTGCTGGGCCTTGTATGAGATCGCTAACACCGTAACAGCTGAGCCAAAGGCGTACAAGCGGGATTTTCAAGAGAGGAAAGGCATCATCTCCTACCAGAACCCGCAGCCGCGATCCCTCGCTAGGTTTCTTTGGATTCGATACGATCGCGAACACAGATACCATGAGAGCCAGCTCTGGCTCTGATTTCTCTGAAAGCGACTTTCTTACTAGAAGAAGTACCAATAGCGCTACCATGATGAGCTCGTTCTATGGACATCTCGAGGAGAACTGTCATTCAGTCTCATTAGGGAGCAGGTATAAGAGTGATGTCTCGGACACCGCCTCTACAGTCGCCCTCTATCTCTCACGGGAATTGCCCAGAGCAGACCACATTGTCACCGAGTCCTTGGAAATGAATGCCACCTCAGAGCCTGCTACAGATAGTTGCGTGTCTGCTTGTGGTAACTCGTCAAGTAGAAATACTGAGGTGCACATTGAAGAGCATCCAAACTCCCTCTTGGCTGGTCAATATATCATTGATGACACAAGCATAGAGGAGGGCCAACACTGCTTCACTAGGCTTCAAAATGGTGTCTCACAAAAGTGTAAGCATCCATCTGATGTCATGAGGTCGAATGAGGTCGCTAGAAAGGCCTTCTGATGAAGACAAAGCGGGTGGCCAGAAGATTAAGGAACGAGGAACAGACGGGAATATTGCTGCGGCTCGTGTGCACGATAGTACAATCAACCAGTCTGCCTTGCCCAATACCAGCAAGTGTCGGCAGCCAACCTTGGAGCCTCGCAGCAGATCTGTAGCTGATACTGAAGACTTTGACTCTGAAGGAGTAATTGGTGCCAAACTCCGAGGAACAATCACACCAAGCTACAATCAACTCTCTTGGTCTCTAAATCATGGCAGTAGTAGAAAGATGTCCGTGATGTCCGATGTCGGCATTTGTGGCGAGAACCCGCAGGATCATCAGAGTCATATTAGACAGAGCATCGAGGAGCCAGACTATGAGAGCCTGGACTTCACAGCTGTTCCTGAAGCCAATGACTGCGGCTCAGAGATGGCGAGTTTGATTGACCTGGAGGAGTGGGAGACAGCATCTATCATTGTTGATATGGATACAGAGCTTGACACCCAGGTCTTGAGTATGCCGACCTCGAGCGCAGCCAATCGCAATAATACGCAAGAAATTCAGGAACGACTGGAGGCCACACAACTTGGCACAAGTATTCTGGGAGAAAAGCCGCGCCATTTGTGGGAGGCAAGGCTTGAGAAACCTTCAACTGCCTTGTGTTTGACCGACAGCTTGCGAGATACCCCATTTGCTGCCAAAGAAAGCCAGATGAGAGACGCAAGTCAGCTGTCAATTCATGATGATGAATCGATAGAATCAGAATCCAGGACCACTTTCCGTCCGGGACCCTGGCTGGAGTCGCTGTCACGACGAAGGGGTGGGGCGATTGGAATAGGAAATGGCCGCTTGGACTGCACTGATGGGCTTGGGACATTTTGGCAGCAAAGAATGGGTTACTGATAGATGGCTGTTGGGGGCCGTTATTGCTCACTTGCTTTGTTGGGCGATGTTGCTTTGTTGTTGCTGACTACTCGACACGATGATGTTTTTCATGTATACTAGATGTTGCAGATCCTCCAAGATACACAATTTCCCCCTTTGCTGTTGCTCATTCAGCATGCCGAGACTTGGCCGGCCCCGGTAGCACAGATGGGTGCCAGATCGATTGACCATGCAATAATCGAGAGACAATAATCAATCCGGCTGGCCTCGTAGGCAGGCGCAGCAGCCCTTACGACGCAGGAATGAATTGTGATCGACAACGTAGCGGCCGACATTTGCTTTTTCGGCCGCAGTAGCGTGGGAAAATAGTCGTACACAATCAAGAAACTCAATAATGGGGCCTCCCTTGTGACAGTTGAGTAGATAGTAGTCCCGACAGTATGGTTGCTTTGTTTGAACCCCTGACTTGTATCACCTCGTGTCTATCACCGTCAGTTTAGGGATCCCCGACACACTGGTTCTGTTATACCTTACATGCAGGGATGGAGCAATTAGCGTAGATTACTCCAGTCAGTCAGCTAGCAAGCCCTGGAAATAGGCAACGAGAACAACGTAGGCAGAAAGCGAGCATTACTACAGAGTACTACTAAATACTACGTAGTAGGTATTGGGGTGACTGGGATGAGGATCCTGCCGTGTGTTGTCTTGCCCTACTGTACTTAATACACCCTACTACTAATACTACTTAGGCCTACTAAGCAGGGTATAATATATGCAATGTAACGTCGTTAGATGAAGAAATTGGATTGATTGATCTATCCATCCATCACGCTACGGAACCATTCCCCCGGGTCCGCCCTTTTTCCTTTTCTTTTTTTTTTTTTTTCTTTTCTTTCCTATGGAAGACGGTATAGATAGTAAGTACTAAGTTACTAGCTATAGGAGTAAGAGTTATATATGTAGGAGGTTCTGGATTTGGTATGGATTGGCTATGACTATGGCTGTTACTTACTAGTGGGTTCTAGTTTTGCTGTCATTGATACCTGACGGAGTTTGATGAGGGTGGTTAGTTAGTTAGTCTCGGGGACTGGGCATCAAGGCGTTAATTGATTGATTGATTGATTGATTGGGTTTCGGGGTGATCACGACCATGATCATGATGATGCTGGTGATAGTGGTAGTGATCTGCTCTGGGTGGGTTGTGTGCTTGTTAGCCTTCATACTTCGTTAAGTGTTCTGCTTACCATGTAAACTGCTTTTACTCGTTGAAACGAAATTAGAAGTAGTAGATCATTGTAGATGATGATGATAACACGAGAGAGGCAATCGACTCGAACTTCGATCGATCTAATTCCCCATTAATGACACAGACCAGACCAGGCAAGTCGCCAAAGTGTGCACAGCCCACGAGAGAGAGGGAGAGAGCGAGAGAGAGAGAGATCAGACCACGCCCAGCGTACGAAAGGTTTAGTATCTAGTACATGCATTAGCCCAACCCCAAGTAGAAACACCGGCGCTGACGATCCCGGACCCGACGATCTGGCACTGGGCATGGGAAAGAAATGCAATGTAACAACGTTCCTCTTTCCCTGTCATCCATTATCCCCCTGATTAACCAGACTAGCTGCGGGAAACCGTTAGTTTCCTTGGTTTGTGGTGAAGCCCGAGGGAATGGATTACCTTTCAAGACATACATGCATGTGGCAGATAGTTTAGTTGGATAGTTAGATGGTGCGGTTGCTGATAAGGGTGTACTTAATGATGTGTGGTTGCACATACAATATCCCCTTTTTCCCATCATCCCTCTATCTATCATGCTCCTCTGCGCTAGTGCCCATCACCGTTAGTTTTCTATTTCCGGCTGGAGGTGGTACTGCTGCTGCTACTGCTGATGATGATGAAGCTGTGGCGTGTTTCTTTTCTTTTCTTTTTTTTATATGTTTGGTTGCAGATCAGGGTTAGGATTGCGTGGCGTGGATGGGCAGGACACACAGACAGGCGAGATGGGCTGTGTCATTTGAGGGGTATGTAATACTTCTACAATTAGTACTGTGAGGGGTAATCTTTGCAGTTGCATTAGCGCAGAAGAAGTTTGAGCGTTGCCTTTGCCTTACCTTTACCTTGCAGTAGGCTGATCCGGGCTGTTGGGTCCTTTTTGTGTGTGTGTCTGGTTTGGTCTGTGGGGGTCTAGATGAGAGGAAGAGGGGAGGTGACGAATGTGCGTGAGTGAGTGAATGGTGGGAGGTTATGCGCTAGAAGGGGGGTGTACTACTACTACTACTACTAGTAGTATATAAGATGTGTTTGCTAACCGCTTGTATGGACATTGAGTGTTTTGTAACAGTGTTAGTGTTTCTTCTATATATTTACTGCTGCATCTCACTTTCAACACGTCTACACATATCCTATCATAAAGCCTTATCGAGCAAAGAATCATCATCATGTCTTCCAACAGATTGACTGAGCACAACCTCTTCATCCACGATCAAACCATCATCAATCATGTCAGTCTATGACCCTTCGCCACCATTATATGACACCTCTAATATAAGTCTCCAGGACTCCAAACATACTCTCAACCAAACCCAAGACAATACCCAAAAGCAGAACCAGATACCGTCCTGGCTCACAACACTCATATCCTCCGAACGAATGCACAAGCTCAACATTCAGTTAGCTCTCAACATCTCCAGCAATAACACTGCCAATTCCACAAAAAACACAGACATCGACATCGACGCAGACATCCAACACATCACCAACGTCCTTTCATCACTTCCACCCCATGACCCTCTCTTCTCCCGCTTCAAGCTGCTGGAAGATATCCTCAGTACACAAGCACACAACCGCCAGGAGAACGATGACTCAAACCCCATCCCTCTAGAACGCTTCCTTACTCCCGGATACAGTGATCCGTACTACATTGTGGAGAGGGCGCTGGAGGAGCTGGGTATCCCGTTTGGGAGCCTGGAGAGTGGTGATGTCAGAAGAAACATGGCGAGGGATAATGTTGATGCTGCGAGGGAGACTGCAATGGGCATGGGGGTGAATAGTGTGTGTGAGGGGAGGGTAGGTAGGACTATCTAGGTGGCTGGCTGGTTGGTCATGACTGGGTCAGACGAACTGGCTTCGTTTCGTTTCGTTTCGTTTGTTAAACGGTTAGGGAATATGGCTGCGTGGGCGAGTTAGGGTTTGTTATTCTGGGTAGATGGGATTCTTTGCATGCGTACATGTACTCTGGGAGTATATAAATGATTGAATGAGATATACTTTGCTTTGCTGCGTGATATATTGGAATGGTAGTAGTATTACTAGATGTCAATGTATCTGTGATAGTATTTGGAATTGGGTATATTATACTAAGGAAAGTCAGATCATGCATGTATGCTATGCCATAACCACCACCACCACCATTCATCAATCAATCAATGAGTAGTCTCTACCACACCCCCTCACACATAAAGAAAGTATAAAACAGAGCAGGACAAATATGTAAATAACACCAAAACCAACAAAAGAAATTCAACAAATCTACCCCACCCCCTTCAAAAAACACAAACCCATACTCCTCTTCCCCAATAAGAGAGGAAAGAAAGAAAGAAGTGAAGAAAGATGCTTATATCGGGGCCATTGCCTCCACAGCTCCCGTCCCCTTGAACACGCCAGGTTTGGTAACCACGACTTCAACCGGGTACTTCCATTCCATGAATCTGGTCCAGCCTGTGCAATCATCCATTAGCATATGGTCTTCACATTATCCCTCCCACACCAAAACCAGAGAATGTAGGGGTATACGTACTCCAATAAGCACACTTCCTACCCAAGTACTTCCCCACAAAAGGCACCAGCACCATCGTCAACAACAACTCTAATTGCTCGATGCTTTCGCGCCATTCTTCTTCGGCGTCCGAGTAGTCCGAGTCGAGGGAGTCGAGGTCCGATGCGGAGGTGGATTCGGAAGGGAGGGAGGCGACATCGTCATCTGAGGCGGAGGAGTAGTGCTTGTCTTGGGAGGAGACCATGAAGGCGGAGGTGCTGAGGGAAGCGGAGGGGGAGGGGGAGGCCATCTTTTGTGATTCTGGTTGGATCCGATGATATACTTGATAATTGTGGTGTATGCTAGAAAAAAGGAGAAGAGAGTAATCAAGCAGGGCCTGCCACCGCCTGACGAATGTTATGGCATAAATAATATAATCAATCAAGAGGATGAAGCTATACACACACAGACACTAGCTCGTTCGGTGAACCTAGTTATGGTCTGATGTAATCCAGGGGAGAGACACCGACAGACAGAGATCTCACGTGCCAGGATCACAATACCGGACGGTAATGGCAATACAAACTTGACTCATTATAGTCACGTGTCAGGAGCCCGCGATAACAGCGATTCTTCGCCATCGAGTCAGCGCAACAACCAAACTTCGAGATTCAACCAGCTCAAACCACAATTCCTAGAGCAATTTCCGTCATCTCTCGCGAACCCAACAAGCAATATATCGGAATATCTTGTCCTGGTGGGAAGTTGAGAAACGCTCATTCTCTCCGATAATCAAAAAACGGCCAGCTCAAATATGGCGGAGACTGTACGTCACACCCCCGTTTTCCCTTTACCGATCGGTTTCCCTCCCACATTTTCTTCATCACATTTCGCCGTGGGACCATCTCGACTCCCTCCGCTTTTGCTTTCTTGAAGCACCACCTCAACCCCCGTGTTCTTTTCCCTCTATATACCCATTACCTGTTGTGCAACGCTCGGACGCGATTTTTGCGGATCGAGCTTCACACTGGTTGACCTTTCTTTAGTGTGTTCCAGCGCTTCTTTTTTGGGTTTTCTATTTCGCCCCTCCCGCTAACGTGTGTTTGGGCTGGTCCGGATTAGCAGGTTGAACCCGCTCCCCAAAAACAACGCAAGTCCGTCGCATTCAGTGAAGGCGCTGTCATTATGGATACCAACGGCGAAGTGACGGAGGCTGCTCCGGTTGTTGAGAAGCCGGTCGCTGAGACTGAGGGTATATTTATCTTTCTTCCCTTATCCTCTCGTGGATATCAAATTTGATATTGACCTCTACATTTTAACCCACAGACAAGGCCGTCGACGAAGTTACCGAACTCTTCAAGGGTCTTTCGAAAAAGAAGAAGAGCAAGAAGCCCAAGGACACCGAGGGCGGTGATGACGAGACCCCCGCCGCCGACGGCGAGTTCGACCCCTCCGCTCTGAAGAAGAAGAAGAAGAAGCCGAAGAAGGTCGACGCCGGTGATTTCGAGGCCAAGCTCGCCGAGGCCGGTGTTGCAGAGAAGGACGGTGCCGTCGCCGAGGAGAAGGAAGAGGTCGTCCCCGAGGGAGACCACGAAGCTGGAACCGGTATCTGGGCTCACGACGCCGCGCAACCCATCCCCTACTCGCTGCTTGTGTCCCGATTCTTCTCCCTCATTCAGAGCCACCACCCCGATCTGTTGTCCAGCGGTACCAAGTCGTATAAGATCCCGCCGCCCCAGTGTCTGCGTGAAGGTAACCGTCGTACGATTTTCGCCAACATTGCCGATATCTGCAAGCGCATGAAGCGGTCCGATGATCACGTTATGCAGTTCTTGTTCGCCGAATTGGGTACCAGTGGTAGTGTGGACGGTAGCCGTCGTCTGGTTATCAAGGGTCGTTTCCAGCAGAAGCAGATTGAGAACGTCTTGAGAAGATACATTGGTATGTTCAACAGCCTGGTGCTATATCCCCATTCAAAAACGCCAACGATACTAATTCCCTGCAGTCGAATACGTCACCTGCAAGACCTGCCGCAGTCCCGACACCGAGCTCAACAAGGGTGAGAACCGTCTATACTTCGTCACCTGCAACTCTTGCGGTTCTCGTCGTTCCGTCGCCGCCATCAAGACTGGTTTCCGTGGACAGGTCGGCCGCAGAAAGAGACAGGGTTAAATGGGTTAATGGAATTTTTGTCAAAGGGGGAGAAGGATCCATGGAGGAAGCTACTACCATGGTGTCTTCGGTGGTATCTTCTGGCGCGGTTATGATTTGTTTCCCCCGCCTTTTTCGTTTACAAAGACTTCTTCTTTCTTTTTTTCCTTATCCTTTTTGCATTCCATCTCTTATGTGAACATGTGGATGATGAACGTTGTGGGATCGATCGATCCATTCTTGGCTTTCGATGGTTCGGTTTCAGGGTGCAAGGGATCTAAAAAAAAAGGGAAGAGGCGAGAGAGACGAAGTGAAGATTTCTTAGCATGGCATGATAGGTAAATGGATTGGTATGACCTTATTCCGATTCTCACGTATGCTGGCGACATGGCAGATGAAGCAGGAATTGTGCTGGACTTTGCTTCCGCCTTGAAAAAGCGGTCGAGCCTGCCAGAGTCATGAAAAGCTACCCAAAAGAAGTAACAGAAGATATCCAATTTTGTGACTATGCAAAATGATGATCTCGTAGAAAGCACATGAGTAGATACAAGTACTTGACAGGTATATAGCAGGGTAAATATATCAAGCCAAAGCAGCCAGAAGAATCAAAAGAAAGCCGTAAAGTATGATACTAGCGATCGTGATAAGCGCAGCAGATCACCACGTCTGCGTCTTTAGTTTTTAGCAAGACTAGTGCCCAGATGGGCAACGAAGGAGGACACATTGCGTGTCTGCATGAAAACAGTGCCAGGACCTGTAAACCTACATGCAAGTCCCTCACCAGCACTCCAGTTAGAGATGATACCACCGGAAGCAACTCGTTCAATCTTGTAGCGGCAGTTCCAGGCCACCAGATGGCCGTTGTTCACGTAGTACGTTTCATCATCGGCGAGCTGAGAGTTCCGTTAGTCAGGCTTCATCCGTTGGGTGTTCATGTGGGCATGTGCACAGGGCTAGTCACATACCTCTTTCTTGACAATCGCCCCGAAGCTCTGCATCCACACCAGACCGGAGCCGCTGAAGTTAAAGACAATGAAACCTTCACCAGAGAATACACCCTTCATGAGACCCTGGGTCTTGAATTCGATCTTGACGCCTGTCGTGCAGGCAAGAAATGCATCTTTGCCAACTGTCCAATCTCTTGTACCGTCGACGCGGAGGACGGTAACATCTCCAAGAATGGAGGGAGCAATCAGAAGTTCTCCAGGACCGGTGTATGTTGACCGGGCCAACTGCCCTCCTGCAAGGGCTTTCATCCATCCAAATGAGAGCGAGCCTCTGAGGGACATGGAGGGGGACATTGCGATCATGACGCCTGCCGTAGGTGAATGTATGAGTATTTCGTGTAGTCCAAAGATGAGGTTAGGTTGGCTCACCCGGTCTCGCCTGTATGGGGCATCCCACTGCTAGCTGGATAGTCAAGAGTGTGTTCGTGTCCCGGTGACTGACCCTGTAGCTGCCACCGTTGAATGTCCCTACATCGTCCGCATAGGTTGACATGGCTCCTACAAAGTTTTTCGGGGCGATTCTACTCGCAAGAGTTGCATCTGTCTGCGCTCGTGTGAGACCTGGTCCTTGTAGTGGTGCTTGCTGAGCTTCCGCGGAACTGAACATGGCCGAGTTGACAGCAAACGACTGTGCATTCTCAGCTACATAGTTTGCCTTCTCGTTGATCGGCGGGGCCGATGGGCTTGTCGACGAGATTGGTGAAACATCAGCCTTGTCCTCGTTTGAAGATACAGGCTGTTGCGGAGGTGGAGGAAAACTAAGATTTGGGGGAGAAAAGCTCGGAGCGGCTTGGGATGGTGGTTGATATGCTGAGGACTTATTAGCTGAGAAATAGTAAGGTAGAAGATCTATTCAGAATAGCATACCAGCACCATTGGGCGGAGCTACAGAATGGGCTGGTTAGCATTCAATGGCGATGGCGCGTAGGGAGGGGAACACACGAGGGAAGGAAGGAGCTTGGCTTGGAGGAGGCGGATACACAACTTGCTCGGACATGATTGCTCAGAGTCAATCACTGTCGTTGACCGAGAAGATAGTTCGTTCTGAGACTAACGTGTGGGGTAAGATATTGTATGGATAGATATGGAAGTGCTTATGAGCTCTCAGGCACAGCTGATTAAGGATATGGTACGCTCGCTAGTCGGAGCACTGGATAATGAAAGGAAGAAATACAATACAGGAAGGAATTGGCCCCTGGTGGAAGCAGAGACATCTTGTTTAAATTGACTGACATTATGCGACTCCAAGAAAATGAGGAGGTGAACCGGGACGAGCTGTGGCCGCCGACCAAGCAGAGCTACTGCATGGTGATCGACGAGGGCGCTTAGAGAAGGCCTCTGATAGCCCTGATGTGTGACGCCCACAGATAGCCCACTCGTGCTAACAAACATCATTGGTTGACACTTTAGCGCTCGGGAGGACGCCAAACTCCAATCTCAGAGCCCAGACAGAATCATTCGTGTCTAGATGACACCGGAATAGTGGAGCGTGTTCGAAATGAGGGGAACAAGCAGACGAGGAGGGGATTGGTTGTTGATCCCTCTCCATACCCAGCGTTCTCAATGCACGTGCTGTAGTATGGCAGCATCCTCTCTCTTATTTCGGAGACAGGGCCAATAGTTATCATAATCTTGCGATCATGGGAATTGGTACAGCTCCTTTTATAAAAAGGTCCTTATAGTATACACGTAAGCTGACTATGACCTTCCATCCGACGCTAGGGTCTAGTGTGCGCTTCCAGGAGTGCCACGATGTCTAAGCGTTCGCTTTCTCTAGCCTCGTCGAAAACGGTCATACCACTATTGTTCACCCGGTGGATGTTAGCTTTGTTATCGAGTAACAGACGAATGACTTCTTCGGATGCAAAGGAGCGCACTGCTAGCATCAATGGCGTATAGCCACAAGCATCCGCAGAATTGATATTTGCTCCATATTCCAAGAGAAGTTCGACCATCTCTTCATTATTATCAATTGCAGCGTAGGTTAGAGGAGTTCTCCCATCTCCTGCGGCGCTCTCGATATCTCCGCCCTTCTCAATGAGCAATCGTGTGATGGCCAGTTGATTGTGTCGGACGGCAAGATGGAGAGCACTAAACCCTTGCATGTCTTTGTGCTCAATGTTCGCCAAATACTGCAGAAGCACAAGAACCATCGGTTCATCTCCTTGACTCGAAGATATGCCCAGGGGTGTTATGCCATTGGACTTCATGCCCAGGTTCGCATTTGCGCCGTTGGCGAGCAGTTTCTTTGCTGCCTCTAGTTCCTGGTTGCCAACAGTCTCATGAAGCGCAGTATATCCCTCATACTCTTGGCTGTTGATGTCTGCTCCATGTCGTCTTAGTGCTTGTATCGCTGCATCCGAACCGCATCTTGCGGCGAAAATAAAGGCCTTTTGCGTCATTGCCCCATAAAGCTTGCCAACCTCAGCCCACCTGATTAATAGCCAATGACCAAGAGCGTCCTGTGCGTTTTGCAAAGCCCATTCGAAACAAAGTTGATCCTCCTCACCAGGTACTTGCCTTTCAAACACAATATCCATACCGTGCGTCAGCCAACCCAGGATCGTTTCCTCGGCGCATTCTCGCTTTTCTTGGTCGTCGTTGCAGACTTGCACTTGTAAGTCCAAGAATTCATAATCCCCTATAGATTCCAGTTGCGTCTTTATAGGGTGTTCATCTGCCTTATTATTGGCAATGTGCCACACGATCCAACCAAGCTGTTGAGAGAATTTGATCCACCAGGCCTTCTGGCGTTGGGACCTCATCCAGTCTGTCGGCCGAGAACTTCTTATACCGCCTGAAAATGTCAATCTTGGATCATCTTGAAGCAGAGAAAGTATGATGTCGAGTGCCTCTCTTCGAACAATATTATCGGTCTGTGTGATTGCACGCTGGCAGAGGTAGCCAAGCTCATAGACGGAGCGTTCGAACTCATCACCATAAGAGCGATCGCAGAGCCAACGAGCAATAGAGAAAGCTTCCGCCCAATTATCGTTAGAGACGAGTCTTTCAATCTGCGCTCTCACGCGGTGCGAGTCTGCAGCAAGCTCCGGTAAAAGCTTCCGAGCTTTCAGAACCGGAACGATGCATAGCAGGGCATCTTCTCTTGAACCAAGCTCTCCGGACTCGAAGCAGGCGACTAACTCGTCGAGGCGACTGCTGTATGAGATATAGCTGTTTTGTGAGCCTGGGCGCACATCCACATCGCCACCAATTGCTTCGAAGTCTTGGAGAACGCTTCTGAGGAAATGGATATAAATGTCCTGAGCAGCCATGGTCTCGAGATTATTCTGTGTTTTCACAACGAGAATTTCTTTGCTTCCAGGGTTCTTGTCTGAATAGAGTCCAAAGAGTTCGCTACCAAATGACACGGTCTTGGACGAAACCATCCGGGCTTCCGTATGGCGGTAAATCCACTTATGAAAATAAAGGTCGGTTTCTTCTGCCATAGCCTCAGATTTGGTCAACCCAACCGCGCGATCAAGCCCAGTTTGAAGCCATTTCGAATTCGACTTCAGCAGCGACCATGTCCATAGTCCTAGAATTGCCTCGAGCTCGGTCTCATCAACCTTCCACAACAAAGTATCTTCTGATCTGTGGAGCTTGATGGTGTAGGTTTCCAGCGCAGGATTGAAAACGCCTTTGTTGAGAGACTGACAGGTGAGCATGAGGTCGAAGCTAACGGTATCACCAGTAATATTCTTCCAGCCTGATAACAAATTCATTGTTCTCTCTATCGTGTCCGCCAGTTTTTGAGCTCTCTTCCTAATTGGAAGGCCATCCCAAGCTAAGCTGGACTCTTTGTCGGGGTTGGACGTAAGGCGGGCTAGTTGAGCCCTTGTCGTTATAAGCTTCGTTCCAAGGCCGGGTGTCTGACTTGGAGTTTGTGTTGATGCAGCTGCTGACGAGGTTGTCGACTGAGCTCGAGATCTATGTGGCGCGCTCGATACTAAACCAAACGACCTGACTTGTTCAAGATGAAACGCAAAACAGTCAAGTTCTTGCTCGTTATAGGACACAAGATGGCGCTCTTCAGCCGTTAGGCGGTTCTCGTCCGATCCGGACCTCTTGGTCCGCAGGCAGGCTCTGACGATGGACATTAGGAGAGTAGCGCCCATTTCTGCCAGTACCACAGAGGCATGCAACCCTCGGATCCCGACAAACTGAATGACGAACCCAATAAGGGTAATAATCACAGTAAACACGAGCAATGGCCCTTTGCCGAAGATTCCAGGGCTTCTAACTGATTTAATGTACAAGAGGTCTTCAGTCGCCTTGGAATTAGGTCCCTCGCTAACACCCAGAAAAGCCCCAAAAACTTGGTCACCGACATCTTGGCCGCCTGGCTGCAACCAGTAGATCTTGCTGGGCATTGCAGGTCGAATGTAGCATTCGGTGGATGAGCGCTCGATGATGAAGGCGCACAGGAACATACCGATGCAGAGAAAGATAGACCCCAGGGAAAACAGCGGAAAAGCATAGCTTACGACAAGGCTTCCGTCTTTTTTAAACTGTACAGGAAAGAGGTAGACAGTTATTGCAGCGTATACAATGACCCCTGACATAATCTGTCAATATAGGCCACTGGCAATACCAAAGACATATCACGTCAACTCACCAACTTGCAGACCTAGCCCCAAAACAGCAGCAGCATAGAACCAGCCTTGGCTGCTCTTCTCAATTCCCTTGTTCAAGGACAGATTCGGGATATCGAGCTCGGGCAAGTATTCCTTCTCATCGAGAATCCAACTTCCTTTGCCTGCCAACCAAGCACCCTCACGAAGGGCATCGCGCAAAGTTCCTATCCGGTAGGAGCGCTCCTTTGTCTGAGGATCTGTCTCCTCCCAGGCAATAACCTCTAGTAGTCGAGGTCTTCCGAATACCCTAGAGATTCCTCCATTATTAAACATCTCTGCGGTTGCCTCGGACACGCATGACAAGAGTTCATTTTCAGCTTCACCAGGGCCCTCTTGAGCCCGCCCTATGAAAGCGCGGAGAGACGAGTTTCCGCAAACACGAATGACGGAAACCACAGCCGTCAGAATACCCAATGGGGCCACAGAGAAGAGAAAGTTATCTAAGATGCTGGTGGATTCAGATAAGAACTGCTTGCTCAGTCGCTCACCAAAAAGGGATATCAGAGGCGCCTAGAATTTCAATGTTACTGAACTTGCCCCAAAATCTGTGTATTAAAGGCAACATACCAAATCTGTAGCAAGGTCATCTGCAAAATCATCCCAGCCGGTGGCCAAAGCACCGGGAAGTAATGATAGTATAGTAATAAGCGATAGATGCCACACCATAGTGAGGCACACGGTATGACAGACAGTCTGACAGAAAAGTATAAGATTTCCCCCCTAAAACATCGGCGGAAAATAGGATATAGCTGAATCAAATACATCTGCTATATTTACCAACATCCCGCCCTCCAGGATGGCTGCAGCTCAGCCTTGTCGCCTGTTCACAGCCCCGCGCGGACTCGATCGAAACACCAGCTCATCTTGCATCCCGGCGTTTCGAGCTGTCTTTGAATCGCTGTCCGACAAATCACAGTTGATGATTGAATATAACACTAAATAGCTAAACGCCCTTGTTATGCATAAGGATTGTAGGCCGTCTATGAGTGGACACATCGTTGTGGCGTACCATAATCGTCGGCGCTAACAAGAGTCGATCGTCGTTTCTCATGCCGGGGCGAGAGGAGATTGACTCGCCTTTAGAGGCTTAGCCATGTAAGACACAGTAAAAGTGAGCGAAGCTTAAGCGCCGACAATTAGAAGATCGTAACAATGGTCGTACTTAAAGCAGGAATAAGTCGAGGTCTAGAGTGAAATCTTTCACGGCAAAGACTACAGGAGCGGTAAACCCGCAATCAAGGACAGATACGTAACGAGCAACCTCTGTCCGTAGTTGGCAAGACACATCCCAGTTACTTCTATGACTAAAATAATTTCACCATTAACCCAAGTAGTCTGCGACGCGCTATCCCAACTGACCCAAACTCAACGGGTTTGCCGAATAATAATGAAATCAACCACCAACGCCTTTCCCATGAGCAAATGAGGGTGCGCGAAAGAACATCAAAGGGCGCCTCTCCGGCCTGCACTTGAATAAGAACTATAAAGCGAATAGAGTTTCGACTAGTCACGCATCTAAAAGATGCTGTTGACAATGTTCGAACCGACGGTAGCACCGGCACCGAAGATAGCTAGGTGCGATTGTCAGTAAGAATGATGGTAAGAACGGAGACGTCCGTGGCGCATCAATTCGATATGTCAAAGTGCGCGCGCATTGCTTGAAACGTACCGGCATTGCCCATCTTCTTGCCAAACTTCTTGCCCTGCTCCTCAAACTTGGACTTCTTGCCCTCTTCACCCGGAGGCGTCGAGCCACTCTGGCTGACTTCCAGCGGCATGTTTCCATAGTTGGTCGGGGGAGGAGACGAAACGGCCTTGTCATTCAGCACGTTCACGTAGCTCCGAGGGAAGATACCCTCAAGGTTGGTGCGCTCATTACGACCACGCCACCCTATAAACAGCGGTTAGCAAGGGAGGTTGCACACAAAGGGTATCGGCAGCCCTACAGTCGGCATTCATGTGTTCCAAGACCTGAATACGATCGTTTGGCTGGAGAGCCAAGTCTCCGGGATCCGTCGGAGTGTAGGCATAGAGCGCCGAAGCGATAGACAGTACCGGTGGAGCTTGGGGATAAGCAGGTGGCGGAACAGGCGGGGTTGAGTATTGTTGCGGAGGAGGCTGCTGATAAGTGGCCTTCTCGTTCAAGGTAGTGTTTGCAAACTGGTTCGTAGGAGGAGAATACGGAGCAGGGGGCTGCTGGGCGACGACAGGTGGTTGTTGCACTGGTGGCTGCTGCTGAGGCACGGGGGCTCTGCTGCGTTCATCGTCCCTCGGTAGTTGCGATAGAATGGATGAGAGCTGTTGCGGAGTAATGACTGATGCATCTGCGAGAAACTCAAGTTCCTAGTGGATCGAAGGATGTCAGCAAGGTGCATCATTAGAGATCAGCTCGAGCAACTCCGTTTACTGAGCGAGGCTGACAGGGGAGGGCATCCTACCGATCGGACGTTGCGGAGCGACCGGTTGGTCATAGCCGAGAAGAAGTCGGACTGGGACGCCATGCTCATGAGGTGGATAGAAAGTAAAAGCACACAACAAGAAGGTATCAAGCTTTGCAGATATGCAGATCAAACGAAGACAGTGAAAGACAGGGTTGAAAGAATGAGACAGAGAGACGGATGGGATGAAGGGAGTGGACGGAGGCAATCGATAATGAATGAATAATAATGTAACGGCATGGCAGGCCCGCCAGTTGGTTCTCCTTCTACTTGCTAGTCAGTTGGTACCTGAGGCCCCCAGTCCCGGGGGTGGGTTGCCTGCCGCTAATTGGCCCCGAGAATTTAGTCGGTCTTGTCATTTCAGGCATCACCATATCACAGGCGCCCTTCTGAGACATTGGTCCCTGGATGGGTTTCGCTTGAAGAATCCACATTATCTTGTTTTCCAGAGTGTGATCGGAGCTTATACTAACACTGCATGTCTGATGTATCTTACAGCAAGCAGAGAAACCGACCCTTACGAATCTTTGCCACAGACATTCCCCGGCTATCCGGGAGGATTACCTAGGAAGGAACAAGACACCTGTCGCTAACTACAACACTTGGAGACCCTACTCCTAATAAGGGGTGGCTCATTTTAAGTGGGACTCGAAATTTCTAGCTTGTTTCTATTGACATATAGTTGTACTCGTATGTGCTTGATGTCAAGGTACCCAAACTGCATTGCTGATTCTCAGAATGACACTTTACGAAATACACTATGCTCTACGAGACTGGAATAGAATTATCATATTATTCCGTTATGAATTATAAGCACATGTACCCAAGTGCCTACTGAACATAAAAACCGTTCTTATGACGCCTGGTCGCCTTTGATAAACAAAGCAACTTGAATACCAACTAAATCTGGCAGCGCTGCAGCAAGAAACAGAATAATAAATGACGGAAATCAAAATAAGCAAGGCACAATATCCTTCAAAAACCCTCTTCCTCTCTTCTTAATTGTCTCCAACGTATGAGCTGCGGAAGTATCCCGCAATCTTCGATGCCAGTTCGGGATCAAGGTCTTTGAGGCGCGAGTCTGGTCGGTAGAATCCTCGATAACGCATACAGCAACCACATTCGGCGGTACAGTGGCCATGAAATCCAATCATTTCCTTTTGATCACCCTCAGGCAAGAGATAGTGACGGAGAGGTCTCTCACAGCATCTACATCTGCGACCGCAACAGCCACCAAGCGAGGCGCACATGAGCTTGTCCTCCTCCCATGCCAAAGTTTGACCCTCTTCATTTCTGTGATGCTGAAGGAAGTCAAATTCATCGATGATAGGACCAGATGGCTTGTCAAGGGTCAACGCTTTCCATGCCTTCTGGCACCGGTAGTAATGCTCTTCTGCAAGGGAGACTTGACGTTTCGGATCCGAGGGCCCCGGGACGTGCTGGAAGGGATTTTCTGGCTCAATACTATGTCTGTATCTGACCCTTTCCAGGCAGTTGATTCGCTGCAGGAGGGCGAACTCGAGTTCCTCGTTCTCCTTGTAACGCTTGATCCAGTCTTTCTGGATGTTGCACTTGCTTGGCCTGTGCTTTTCATATAGTCTTGCCCTATCGTAGAGACGGCGTCTGAGATTATAGCGTTCGTCTTTGAGCACGCGGAGCCAGATAGGCCTGAGTATTTCTGACATTAGATCAAAGGGTCTGTGGATGGACTCTTTCAGTATCAGCGACGCATGTGACTCGTGAGTCGGAGAGAGCTTGTGGTTTGTCATCTTGATTGGCGTCCTCTGCTTTTCGTTGCTCTTCGTTGATTGTGCTTCTAAGGTTAACTCTAGACTCGAGAGATTTTTCTGCCAGACACTGTTGTTTACGTATACTGACGTAGTAGATACAGCGTCAGGATGAGAACATTTTGTGTGCTCGACCACGGAATCATGCTTCATTAGTATAATGGTTAGGGTAAAGAAGGATGGGGATGTTCTATGTCTTCACAGACCCTCGATAACGGCGAACGCCAATATAACTGAGTATATTAACGTGAGAATATGGCACCAGTCAACAGCAGTGTAGTACTGTTACAATTACCTCGCTTCACCTGAGACCTATACTCATTACTCTACCGACTCAGCTCTACTGTACTTCCCGATATAGTAACCGCCATGGAACCAGCATAACAACCCAGCCAAACAAGACCACTACAAGCAAACATATTTTTAAATCAGCACTAAGCACAAGGCTAACAACTCACTCCCTGATCAATAATCCCAGAAAACCGACTCACTCTGAGTCACCACAAACATTTCCCCAAGCAAAGTAAAGCAAAGCCTAACCCAGAACCTCAGCCAACAATCGGGCAACGTACGGGGAAAGATTGGCCGATCCATGATGTCAGCAACCCTAACCCAAAGTAGACTAGCGCATACCGCCCCTCTGACTCCGCCATCCCAGGGCTCGAGAAGCTTCCGTGGCGTCGATATAAATTCAGCGGGCCTTGAACATCCCTCCTTACGACACACCTCACGCGATCGCACTTGACACTCACACACCGCCACCCTCACATCCTCCACCCACACCACACCCCTCAGTCAATCCACCATCACCTCTAGAACCTCCATCTTCTCACCAACTTTGCATCTATCTTCAAAATGAGCGACTGGGACTCTGTTACGCGCATTGGAGCCAGACACACTGGTGGCCCTGCCACCCGCGAGACCGTCGTCAAGGGTAAGAGCGCCTTGAACGCCGCCCAGCGCCAGGGTCTCGTTATTGGTACCGAGAAGAAGTATGCTACTGGTAACGCTGTAAGTATACCACTTAATTTGCCCCTCGATTGGGTTCAAGAAGCAGTGAAAGAGGGGTAGCCAGGCTAACACAGAAATAACAGGCCGGACGCTCCGGTGCCCCCGAAGGTCAGCACCTGACCAAGGTCGACCGCAGCGACGACATCGTTAAGCCCAAGACCGTTGGCTACCAGGTGGCGGATGCGATCAAGAAGCGCCGCAACGAGGAAGGCTACAAGATGACTCAGAAGGAACTCGCCACTAAGTGCAACACCACCATCACTGTTGTTCAGGACTTCGAGCGCGGTACTGCTACTCCGGACCAGAAGGTCCTCAGTGCCATGGAGCGCGTGCTGAACGTCAAGCTGAGGGGTACGGGCATCGGACAGGAGAAGTTCCCTAAGAAGAAGTAAATTGATCGGGGGTGAGCCCGCGGCTTTTTCTTGGGGGAATGGAGAGTGAAAATTTGTTGATTGATTGAACTTTGCCTTTTTTCATCACCCTTTTTTACTCTTTCGACGGCTTTTTCTTACGGTTTTTATTTGGTCATGCCCCGGGTTTACTTACGACCTTTTCTTTTTCGAGAGACTTTTTCGGATGTTACGTTATGAATGAGATCCCATGATTCTTTACTTCTTTATCCCCCATTCCCCGCTGTTTGTGGTTCTGCTGGTCGGAAGAGCGCTGGCCTGATATTTATATTACGAGGGGAGTGTGATATGTGATCTTTGGGGAAGATGAAAAGAGAAAGAAAAGATCATACATATTGATAGAAATGTGCATTTTGCGGGTATTCGTGTCCCTAGAGAGTATCTTTTGAGTACTCGAAAGATAGAACACTGAGTTGCACGTTGAGCACGGATCAATAGTCTTGCAAGAGACAAAAACAAGTGGCGAAGATACTACAAAGTCGCCCACAACTGATTTCTATATATCATCTATACTTATTCGACGAATGTCATCCAGTACTGACTCAGTTAGTACGTGACTAGCCTGAAATGAAGTGAGGAATGAAACAAACAATTGTAGTAAAACAAATTTACGCAAAACAGATCAGAATCCCTTACGCATTCTGGATCTTCACATTTCTGTGTAAAAGTTATAAATCTTGCTAAAGCCAGCCAGTCGAATTTGACTTTCACTATTAACTAGCTCTACTAAAACTTGGAACACAACCTCCCTCAGATTGAACTCTATCTCACTTTCATCCTTTGACATGCGCTTGGCATTTGGTCTTAGGTGCCATCGGCACCTTCGTCTCAGCTAATGTCGGCCGCATGGTCCTAGCTGCAGTCAACTACCAGGGGTTGACTCCAAGCTTGATAGCCTTCAACACGCTGCCGATCAGGTTCACCCCAATGACGAAAACATCATTTCGCAATGAGAGACTAGATGGCATGCGCAACTCTATCGAATCCTCGAGTGATTTGATACACGAGAAGGAAGATCAGGAATGCGACAACACTGAGCAAGGAGACAAGACAGCTGACCGTCGTCAGACAACCGTTGAAGATATACTTTAGTTTGTATGCTTGATAGGGCATCTTGCTCCCGACATGCGTTTCTGTTCAGTTGTCAAATATTAGTCCTTTCTAAGGTCCTTCCTAAGTGTCAACTGTTGCTTTCTCGCGATAGTTAGTCACTGTATCAAAGGAATGATAATGTTACGCCGCCAGAAATCGAGGGTTCGGCCGTGTTGCGATAGGCAGTTACAATGTTGGGGTATGATGGCTTTTGACCTCAGCGACGCGGGCGACATCATGGGTACTAGTTATTCGTCCAGGTAAGCTTTTGTGCACAACATACTATAAGACAATACAGTCTTTTCCCATATAGGATCATACTAGCGCATGTTAGTTGGCTTCTAGGATTTGAAAACAACTCGTATCATATATGAATACTATCATATGATGTTATAGTAAGGAATACGGTTCAGGGCGGCTCTGTACATCTATGTTCACGAGAACCCGCCACTAATACTACATGAACTTAAAAGAAATGAAGCAATGTAGTTTCTTTTATTAGGACACAGGAAAGCGACCAGAAAAGCAAATGGTACCAACTCCGACTTTATCATGGTTAAGAAATGATAGAAAAAGAACTCATGCCCTGAATCGCCCCGAGGTCTCTTTCTCGTACCGCCGTGCTGCCTGTCCTTGCTACTTTTGGTTTCTTTTGTAGTAAGTAAAGGAGAAAAATGATATCATCTTCGCCTCATGAACACATACACACACGATGCGTGTTTATAAAAACTGGTAGGTAGGTAAGATAGGGGGAGGAAAAAACTAAAAAAACTCTTTGCAAAACTTTCGTCACACACTTCACTTCCTCAGCTGCTCGCGCTCGACCTCGTACATGAAGTCGAAGTAGGGCTTGTCGAAGTGGTGCACACGGACGTAACCGTCCTCACCACCAGAGGCGTAGGCAGTACCGGCGGGGTGGATGTGAACAGTGTTGAGGGGACCGAAGTGACCGCGGACACGGCCGATCTCGTCCTCGAAGACCTTGTGGTAGAAACGAGCCTCGAACTTACCCTGACGGGCAGAGGTCGTGGTGACATCCATGGCGGCCTGACCACCTCCCAGGATCACGTAGTCCTTCTTGGGCGTAATGGTGGCGCTGTTCAGGGGAGTGTCGGCAACGTAGGTTTTGAGGATGGCGAGATTACGGGTAGACATGAGCTGGTTGGGGGTTAGCATTTAGAGTCGTTTAATATGCAAAGTAGCAGGTTATGTACCTTGGCGGACTTGTCCTTGGAGGCAGTGATGAAGTAGGTGCGGTCGGGAGAGAACTGGATGTCGTTGATCTGGTGGTCGAACTCGTGGGCCTGGACGTTCTCCAGCTGCTCACCGGTCTGTCATCAAGTTAGCATCTAGCCCCCTCAACGCATAGCAAAACAAGGTATTCTGCGCACCTTTCCATCGTACTGGCTGACACTGCCGTCTTCGTGACCAGCAATGATGTACTTGCCCATGTAACTCCAGCCGGCAACCGTTGCCTTGCTCTCTGTGCAGGTGATGCGCAAGCTAGGCTCCTCAGCCTGCTCCGTCAAGTTCTCGCCGTAGTTGATGTCCAACACCGCAATGGTACCCAAGAAACCCATACGCTTCTCCGTCACAGCCAAGAGTCTGCTTCCATCGGGGGTGAACTCGACCCGCTTGACGGCCGTAGGGAAGTCCCACACCTTGATGCATTCGCCGGTCTTCACGTTCCATAGTCGCACGGTGTTGTCTGCCGAACCGGTTGCCAGAATCTGAGTGTTCGGGCTCACATCGACCGTCCAGATAGCACCCTGGTGTCCGTTGTAGGTACCGAGTCGCTCGCCGTTGGCCGACCACCAGGCGCACACAATTTTATCCTTAGCCACGGAGAAGATAAGATCGCCATCGCGGTTGAACTTGATTTGGTTCAGGGACCGTTCCTATTAAGCAAGATATCTATCAGCCACTCGTCCATATTTCCTATCATTTCCCAAATTTTATATCATTTTCCTAGCTCCTGGGGGGGCGACTATCATCGCGTTCGGGGGTGGGTATAGGCGAAACGCACATGGCCGGAGAGCAAAATAGGCCGCATTTTGGGCCGATCAAGCTGTGAATCTGGGTAAGGCGACGGAGGGGAAAAAGATGCTGAATCAGAGGTATGTATCCTCTGTAACCGGAGTCGACTAAGACCTGCGAGATGAGGCGGAAATCCTTGCGGGGTGCTGGCGGGCTCACGTTGTCGGCGTCGTCAGACTAGTTTGAATTTCATCGCACAGTCCGGGCTTGCCCGCCAAGACTTTCCTGTTCGAGCCTGTTCTGTATGAAACGCTTCATACCGGATACGTGGTTCTTCCGTTGCGATGATACACATCATGTGACTTGACCAAGCCCTGAAGATTTCCTACCAATTGGGACCTGGAAGACGTGATGGGCTGACCGCCAACTATGCGCTATACCCAATGCAAACATATGGCGTTCCGAAAGTCCGAAGCATCTGAAAGTTGCGGCTCGCGGGAAACTTTGTCTTGTGAAAAACAGCAGAACAATGGTAAAAGGAGGAGGCATTGAGAGTCGCAGAAAGGACATTTTCACCCACTAGAACTATAGAATATAAACAGATCACAAAGATCAATTGGGAGCGCTGCAGACACTGAAGACATTCAATGTTGTTTGGAAGCTAATGATTTCAATTATTCAACGATATTACTCGCGTTTGCGTTGATCGACCTTTTCCCTATCTCCATCTGACCCGGCCGAGGA